TTTGTGCGGTTTGGATTTCCTGAATGGGTGTGAATGTTATTTGGCTTGAGCAGATATCTGAAGTGACTCCTCTGCTCAAGAGCTTTCCGACGAACCAAGAATCGCCGCGATCGGAGCAAGAACGAGAAAGTTATGATCGTTCGAAGTTTTGATTGGGATGCGGCGACTATGGGAATTTGTGGAGTGACTCAATATGGGGTATAGACTTTTGGGGGTTGGGAAATTCGAACCCATCACTGTAGATTGCTGCCATGTGGTTGGGTGAAGCCAAACCAGGTTGGCAAGTGTGGCCAAGTGGGTTGAGGTGGATGGCATGAGTTGGGAAAGTGACAAATGTCAAAGGTGGGGTGCCTATAGAGAGGGGATTTGTGTGGCATGGGGTTTCCACTCTTTTGTTACGGACTTCTTGGAACCTTCCCTCTCGTCCTCCTCATCTCTTCCTACCTGGTTTAGTCCTACTCCAACTCTTTTGTGTGTGAACTTGAGAACTTGTGAGTATAATTGTGATTGGGTTAATTTCTATGGCAGCATACCCCCCAGTGCGCCGAAATTCATAACTCAAGAAATACTCCACCTTTCCGTGCGATTCAAATTGGGAATTGTAGCCAAAGACTAGAGCTACAATATACCTGAAATTGGCGGAGTTTCAACGGTGCACTTTTCGTCGATGGCGTTTCTTGTGGAGTCGACTTTTCTGTCCAGAAACTAGGCCCAACGATTTTGAGTTATATCGGCACCTAATCTTAATAGACTCGGTCCTTAGTCTCTAACAGTGAGCAGTGGCGGTGTTACAAGCAGCGGCAGCGGTGGCGGCGGTCTAGACAGCTGTAGCGGCAGGGTGGCCTAGGCAGCGGCGGTGGTGGCAGGGGCGGGCGGCGGCGCAGCTGCTGCTGCTGCTCACCCTAACGAGGCAGCAGCGCGCTGCTGCTTCTACTGTTCGCGCTAAAGGGTAGCAGCGCGCCGCTGCCACTGCCATTGCTGCTCGTGGCCATAGGGCGCACTGGCCGACAAGGCACGACCTAGGCTACTAGGCGACGGGGCAGCATGGCGCGCAGGACGGCGGGGCAGCAGGGCACGCTGGGCGGTGGGCCATCAGGGTGCGCTAGTTGGTGTGGCGGTGGGGAGCGCAAGGCGACAGGACAGCAATGTGCGCTAGGCGACTGCGAGAATCGAGTTCTGTTGGAGTTGTTCATCAAACCACACCCGAATATACTTAACAGTGGCGTGTTGAGAAGGAGAATCGAAGGAGATAAGAAAACTTATTTGAGGCTTCGCGTGTTGGCTATGGAAATGGAAGAATGGGAGAAACGGGGAGGAAGCAGTGAAGTTGGAGGAATAATGGAATAGAAGGGGAGAACATGTGTGAGGGGAAATTAGTTGGGGCTACGACCATCGCGTGGTCCACAAGGCACCGTTTTCGGGCTTGAGGGGCGTTCAAGGAAGCAAGCATAGTTGCGTATGCGACTCGACGTAAAACAAGGTTCAAGGAAGTTAACTTGTGGGATACATGAATTTCATATGTGCTTTGTGTGAATTGTTATATTGTTTAGTTGTTTGGTAAAACAACCTTGGCGGTATTTTTATATTTTGAAGGCTAGAGTTCGATTCTAGCTATTGGCACATTTTCCACACTTCAGTGAAACCCCCCTGAGAGCTCCATCAGACACCAATAACATCGGGATTCACGTAAAGGCCCGTTGTTAGAAGGTGAACAGGAGATCCCTGATTGATCATAGGAAAGGGTTACAGGCACGTTGACCTGGGAGGTTTTTGGCGCACTCACTTGCTACGCAAACAAGGCCTATTTCCCTGTGGTTAGTGGCTGGGTTTCTGACATCCGTCAAGGTCCCGTTAGAAGAATCCCCATCAAGGTTTCGTCAAGACCATGTAAAGGCCCAGTGAAACGCCAATGAAACTAAGAGGTGCTCGTATTGATGAAATCGTATGATTGTGGAGAACGAGATCGGCAGTAGCAAGAATAATTTTGTCGACTAAGGCGTTTGTGATACTAAGAAGTTTGAGCTGGCTAAGGGCAGCGCTAAACTAGGAACATAGATTATTAGTTACTTAGTAACCTAGCTAACATACATCGATACCGTGTCAAGAGAGAAAATTTCACTAGAGAGTTGGGAACAAGGAACAGAGGTACAAAAGTTATACTTACCAAAGCCTAACCCTGTCTAGCCTATATAAACTAACACACATAAAGGAAAACCGTTTGACATGTATTGCAACAGTGTGGAAGTGCTCGTTTTCTATACGAGGCTAAGGCGCTACTGGCATTCTTCTAGATTGCTTTCTAAACATGTCAATTACTCCAACCAAGTATGATGGATCAGGGAAAAAAAAAGAGTGGAAATCATACAAATCAGACTAGAAATTCTAATCCCTGAGGTCGTGAAACCGGGTCTTCAGCCAGCTCTTGATTCTAGTAACCCCTAAACCGAAGTTGCTCGAGGAGGACCCGCTCAGTCCAAGCGAGCCTTGAGACACTTGAGACCCCATGTGTGACCCTCTTCCACCAACATTGCAAGCAGAACCACCTTCCGAGCGTGGGAACGAATCACCAATACTTGTGTTATCTGCCTGCTCCGAGCTCTCCCAATTGGCCTCCGCTTCTGGGCAATGCTTCTGAATGAGCACTTTGAGACGGTATGCAACATCCCCCATGTCAGGCCGTCGTGTGCCCGGTGGCTTAACGCAGTCCAGAGCCAGGTCAGCAAAGTCCACTATGGCCTCCTCACTTGCTTCTAGCTTGCTGTCTTTGAGTTCATCCAAGTGATATGCCTCCATCTCCTTCATCGCCTGAAAAGAAACAAGTTAGAGAGGAAACAGCTCATTGTGCAAGGCAACATGATTAGAGGAACAAGTAATTGTGTACGAGAAACTGGTGAGCCTCCACCTTTTTCATCACCTGCAGAGAGCCCGTGCGATGAAGTGTGATAGAGGAAAGGTGTGATATGGAGGAGCAAGATTGAGGGGAAAGGCAGACGAAGGTGGAGAAATAGGAAGGAGCATGGCGCATGGATTTATATGGAAGAAAGAAAGAAACTTAAGGCAGCACGCTCAAATGGAGACGCAGTGAACAGCAGCAAGATAGAGGAAAGGTAGCACAAGGTGGCACAATACAGAGGATATGTGACTCAAAAGCAGAGGTTATGCAAGAGAACAGGAGGCCAGGGTGGGTTTGACGAGGGATAAGGTCAATTACCCAATCTTTGATAGGCTGACCAAGAAGATCTCGGGGTGCCTTTCCTGTCAGCAACTCGAGAAGAACTATTCCAAAGCTGACAAGCGCTCATGGCAGTGGGTAGGGAGGGAGTACAGAACCAGCTTGGACAGAGACATGCTTCAGCCACTGAGAGTTACAACTCAAGAATGAGGTGTAGCTGCAGCACAGAACCAGCTTCAAACCAGCAGAAAAACAAGAAGCATGCTGTAGCCAATGCAAGTAACAAATGGCACTACAAGAGAGTATGGTAAGCTGATGTACAGAACAACAGAGCAACGTATGCAGACCTGAAGACGTCACTCTTAGCAGTGATAAAGCTGGTGCGGTTGTAGTCGGGGTCCACATAGCCCGGAGTGCCTGCCACTCGTGTGGCATCGGCCGTCACAAGGATGTTGGCGGGCTTGATGTTGTTGTAGTCACAGTAGGCTCCAACAGGCTTCAATGTGCCTAGAACCAAAGATAGAGTGCGCAGTCAGGTTTCTGCACAGCGGCTTTAAACGATCATAGCGATCTGCTCACACCTCCAATTGACCTCATTCAACTTGGATCTGGAGCGTCTTAACGTGCCCTACAATAGGCAATTTAGATCGCACGATTTCATCAAGAATTGACGACACAGCGTCAGATTGAACGAACGGCACTATGGCAGCAACATAGTCTTAGAAGACACAATTACGAACAACTAGGAAGAGTTGCGAGTTGGGAAGGACTCCCAGCTCCTACAAACCCCAAGAACCGAGCTACAGTGATGGGGAACAGTGCCACACTGTCCCCAACCAAGAAGGGTCTCGAAACTACCCTCCACAAGGGCCTACACCCATAGAAATGTTACACTACAAATTGTAATGTAACTATCTTCAATATCTTGAGGTGTACCCTTTTGGCCAGCTTCGAAAAACACTTGAAGCTTGAAACCAAGGCTCGGGTTCTTCATCACAAACTCAACCTTGAGTTCTTGATGGGTCTGCTGCACACACCTGCGACACGCCGAACGTTTGACACAGGACAAAATAGAAACCGCGCACGACAAAATAGAAACCGCGCGGGACACACAAAATGACCGCGTTAACACGCGGCTAGCGATAACTCGCTATAGACTCGACACACACACACTCGATACATGACCCATCATACACACACTATTATAAGCATGAAATATATATTTATTTCATGCACTCATACCACTCCATGCACACACGCATGCACACACACGCACACGGACAACAAGCCGAGTGCAAACCGTAGGGTTGCACCAACAGATGTCGCGATGGATGATGGGCGTGTCAAACCCATGCAGGTACGCCAGACCCTCTGCTGCTCCCTGTGCCAGCCGCAGTCGCTGCCTCATGGAGAGTGGGCCTGGTGCAGAGTGAGGGGACATGGACGGTGGTTTTACCTTGTGTAGTATTAATATATCGCAAGAGGGAATAGAGAGTGGAGCAGAGCCGAGGAGTTGGAGAATCAAGGAACAGAGGGGTCGGGTAAGAGTCATCTCATTCGCCAAACGGGGAGCAAGGATTCACCAAGAATCACAGGGCATTCCAGGGCTCACGTTTGGACTTGTGAATGTGGTGTTCCAAGTCCCTGTTGCCCACATACTCGTACACCAGGATCTGCTCCTGCTTGCCCGTCTCCACATCCTGGTCCAAACAGAAGCCCAGAAGATGCACCAGATTCGTATGGTGGAGGGATGCCATGGCTCGCACCTGTGAAAGAACGAAAATATGAAGAAAGAACACAATTTGACAAAATTTAATAATAATAGTGTTTATCCTGTGAATATCCTATTTTTCGTTTCTTGACGAGTGAGACCCAGATTGCAAAACACATAGAAATTCATTTCCAAATGAAGATTCACCTCTATTTCAAACTCATTCGTCATGATGGTAGAGCGCTTTATAGCCCACAGCTGCCCCTGTGGGGAGCACCCCTTGTACACAATGCCAAAACCCCCCTTGCCCAGCTCATTTTCTTCTGCCCAGTTGTCTGTCGTCGTCAAGATCTGCTGCAGCGTGTACTGCTCACACACATCCAACCCCTCCCACTTCCCTGCACGCATCCATGCAGAGCATATTAACAATAGCAGGGGGATGGCTACGGTTCAAAGGATCCTACAGCGTTTTGTGCGGAAGATGAGAATGGAGATATGGATGGTTCCAAAGCGTTGGATGGAAGAAAAGCGATGCAGGATGCAGAATGGTATGCAACATGAAGAGGGGGGAGAGATTCAGGAGAGGGGGCAGCACTGTTGGAAGTCTCACTCTGTTTTCGGGGCCACAACATCCATGTGAGTATAGCAGCCAGGAGAGTGAAGCCAGCAAAGCACCCTACAGCAATGCCCACTATGGCACCCGTGGAGATCGAGGAGACTATTAGGGGTGGAAGGGGAAGGGTGAGGACAGCAGCAAATAAAGAGTCAGCTCATCAGCACATAGTGTACAAAGCACCCCACAGCAATGCCCACTATGGTGCCCGTGGAGAGAGAGGACACTGTTTAAACGGGGCAGGGGGGTTGAGGGAGAAAGAGGGGAGGGAGGGGGAGTGAGGTAGGAGGGGAGTGAAGAGAGCACCAGGGACGTGACAAGGCTGCCTGTGGAGAGATTCTAGAATTTAGGAATAAATGCAGTAGAGAAAAAAAAATGTTAGCATGAAAGAATTGTTAAGGAATGTTGGGGTGGGGTGGAAGCAGTGGAGAGAGGCTACGGATGGGATGGTGTGAGCCGGCTACGGTGGTGTAGCCGCAGCGCATTCCATTCTGTTCCGGGCAGTGCACTACAGTGAGGCAGAATGGGGCAGTGAGGCAGTGTGGGGCAGTGAGGCAGTGTGGGGCGTGCAACAGTGCGACAGCGCAAGTGAGCTATGCTGGTGGGGTTATGGCTCACCAGTGGTGGTGGTGGAGTTGACAACAGCACAGGTAGAGCCGTTGCCCAAGTCAAGGGTAGAGTAGCCGGCGTGGCAGAGGCAGGTGAAGTTGGAGGGGGAGGCGGGTGCAGGAGGCACACACTCCCCATGGCCGTCACACGGGCCGTTGTCCGTGATGCTGCAGAACGCCTGGCAGGCTGCCGTGCTGCGCTGGGTGGCGTTGGAGGGGCAATCCGCGTCTGGGCTGAGAGTCAGGCAGTTCCCTGACAGGCTCACCCTCGCACCCTTGCCTGCCCCGGCAACTGAGAAATCTCTCATGGAAGTTACGCCACTAATGCACTTCCCAGCCTGTTGGCCGGAACTGGTTTCAGACACCATCAGGTGGTTGGGCTCTCTGATCTCAACGGGGCAGATCTGGCAGCCGGCAGCAAAGAGCACAGCATCGCCGAAGAAGAAGTTGTGGGCCAAGTTGATGAGGGTATGGCCGTCCGCCACCATGTTCCTGAAGTTGCGGTTGATGCGCCCGTACAGGCTGTTGCCACTCACATCACTGCGGTTTAAAAAGGTTGAGGGTGGGTATGGGAGGTGACGGAGCAGTGCAGATTGTGCAAGGGCAGCTGCTTTGAGATACCGGTTAGATGCCACGAATAGGTGCATACGTGAGGAAGCAGCGACCGATCACAGCTGCGCATGGACCGGATGGGGATAAACAAGCCGGTCCATACAGTAGGGCAGGATGAGATTGAGCTTAGTGACAGTATCAAGTGTACTCACCATACAGGCTGTGGATTGGCTCCAATTTTGAGTCAACTCAAGTATCACCTCACCAACTCTCGTGTAACATTATTGGGCGTTCTCGAGCGTCGCAAACATTATTGAGTGTTGGAGCTGGTTCTGCTGATGTGACCACCAATGCATATTGTTACTGCTTTCAGCTTGCCTATTAATCGCACTGCACATATTCGCTTATGTAAATCCACTTGAATACGACGGTACTTAGTCGGGACTCACATTTGGTTCACACATTTGTTGAAGAGGCAGTCTGGAAGGGGCCCATAGAGGCGGTTGTTGCTCACCATGCTGCCACCACAACACAAACATACAGCATACAGCAGAGCACTCTAGCGAGAACACACATGATACATATCAAGGAAAAAAAATGGCTACGCAGAATAGAAAGAATGCATAATGAAAATGGAATTTGACAGAGAAGAGGGGTCTGGGAAGAGGGGAGGGTGTTGGGTCAGGGTCAATTAGGAGGTCACATGCGCCACAGCCACTCACATGCGCCGCAGCCAGGGTATCGAGCAGATGGCAGATGGCAGCGGACCCTCGATGCTGTTGTTGTCCAGCCAGCTGGGAGGGGCAGGGAGTTAGGGAATGGTACATGTGGGTGTGGCAAGAGAGGCTTTGGTTGCCTACAGAAAAGCATAGAGTGACGCACTGAGGGACTCACAGTGGGCGCTTGTTGGCCAAGAAGTTTGTGGGCGGATGGTGGAATTACGAGGGACGAGGCAACGCAGCAGAGGAAGAGAGGGGTCTCACAGCTGCTCCAGATTATTCAGTCGGCTGATGTCAGCAGGCAGGCTGCCGCTCAGATGGTTTTTGGCCAAGAAGCTGCATGGGAGGGCCGCAACAGAAACAAGTAAATAAGCGAGCCATGGTGCAAGGGAGGCATGGTGTGAGAGAGGATGGCGAGGCATCATGGTGGAAAGCAGCGACTGCGGGGGAGAAGACTGGGCCTGAACGAGTAGCAGGCATGTTGCATTGGTGTCAGTGGGAGAATGAGGGAGTGCAAGTGTGCGGTGATTGGTAGTTACGGTCACAGAGATTTGGGGCTCACATGAGCTTGAGATTGGTCATGTTGAAGATGGAAGCTGGTATGGAGCCCGACAGCTGGTTGTTGTTCAGGATGCTGTAAGGGCAAGCAAGGCACGAGGTGTGAAGCTGAAACGAGGACCAATAATAGGGACTCAGAGTGCAACACACACACACACACACACACACACACACACACACGCGCGCGCGACAAGAAACACCCCCTGTTGCATGGTGATTCCTGTGTCACATCGAAATATCACGCGATGGCCTATTTCCACACGAATCCTTGGTTAATTCATACACAAGACGAGGATTATGGTGCATACACTGATGATTGCATTGTGAATGCAAGAGATTTACATTGACTCGAGTGCAGTCAGAGAGGAAATGGAATTGGGAATAGATCCCGTGAAGTTGTTGTTGCTGAGAGCCCTGAAGAAAGAAGCACGACATGCAATGGTTGTGTGATTATGAGGGCATCACGCACATTTTCCCATCCATATATAGCTTTTCCCCTAAACTACACGAGCTCCTATTTCCAAGCCTCGTTCTCTGCTTTACCTCGTCCACATGGACCATTGATTCATCGCTTCCTGCTTGTCCTCCTTCCCGACCACAGTCGCTGTTCATAATTCCTCATACATACTAAAATCCAAACCATTTGCTGCCTCCAGAGCCAATACGCGGCCTTGAAACGTTTCCGAACCAAATTCACCTTTGCTGAGGCAGCAAAACTCTTTCACAAGTTCTGTCAGGACTTGAGCATTACCTCCCAAAGGGCTCATGCCAATGACATGCACTGCAAGATACACTCAACCATAGCCACCTATCTGGCAGAGCTCGCAGAGCCCCACTCTAGCCCCTGAGAGAGGTCAGTGGTATCCGATAGACAGAGGTAGGGTCCAAGCTTAGCAGACTCGGCCTAGCAGACTCGGCCTGAGCTGCGAGGAGCTGGAAGGTGGACGAGCTGATTCGGAGGCTGGGGAGTCGGCCAAACGAAATCGCTGACAAACCAAGATGGAATTGTTGCTCATGCTTCGTACCCATCTAAGGCAGTAGCCCGTACTTGCCACTGACGAATTACAACGGGTAAAATGAGAAATGAGGCTGCGTACGTACAGGATGTTGAGGCTGACATTCCAGCGAGCAAAGTCCGGTAAGGCACCTGTAAGGCCGTTTCCCTCCAGATCACTGAAGGGCAGCGGCAGCAGAGAAAACAACGAAAGAGCATAAGAGGGGTGGAGATGATAGGGGCAGACCACTGAAAGGGGGTGAGCACACGACACTACAGAAAGTGCAGGTGAGGGGATGAGTGCAGTGCAGAGGCACAGAACTTGGCAAGGGTTGGCACTTGGCTTAGATATGTGAAAGCGCTGAAAGCATGTCACACTTCTCACAGAATTAAAAGATTTGGTGACGCATTGAGTGGCACTGGAAGACCACCCGAAAAATAGTTGTTTCCCAGTTGCCTACAGCATGGCGGCATGGGAGAAGGGAGGGGAAGGGAAGTGGGAGGGGGGGGGGGGGGGAGGGGCAGAGAATGGGTAAGGGTATAGGAGGAAAACTTCTTTCTCTTACAGCAACTTCCCTGCAGATGTTGCCTCCTACTCATATCATGCACGGCTCGTAGTTGCAAAGCTGGGAAGAGAGGAGAAAGCAAGGAGGGGGAGAGATGACGAATGGAGACAAGAGTAAGGGAGGGAAACAGAGGGGAGGGAGAGAGAGACAGAGATGCAGAAGGGAGAGAGAAGTGAGGAAGTGAGACTTGCATGCTTGTACTTGACCGCTATATCAATACACGGACCATTAGAGAGAGAGAGAGAGAGAGAGAGAGAGAGAGAGAGAGAGAGAGAGAGAGAGAGAGAGAGAGAGAGAGACACCACGCCACTGAACCTCCTGCCACGAGACACCTGGGCGCAGTGGGGGAGAGACCTACTAGTAGCGCTCCTGACATCCTGCGGGATTAAAGTCCCTACCTGTAGCACGGAGCAGTCGAGAGTGTGGGCGCAGGCTTCGCTTCCCTCATCCCTGGGCGGCTTAGGACTGACAGACCCACTCGTAGAAGGGGTCTACGGATTCGTAGCCAGCTTCACACAGGCCGCACTCTTCTTTTCCTCCCTGACGCTAGCGCCAGACACAGCACTGACCCGAGCACACAGCCACATGATTCTGCCCCGAGACGTCACCACACCGCTACACTCCTGGCTCACAGAGTGCGAGACTGCCCTGCCCTCAGACGCACGCGACGTAGTTGACCAGGAGCGGCTCTCTCGGTCGGACATCAAGCTCCAGCACACACTGGGCCTGAAAGTACAGGGGAGTAGATACGCGGTTCAGGTCCAAGAAACGAGGCGAATGAGACTGAATCCACTCTCTGGGCACACACAGAGAATGTTCTCACTCACAGGCTACGGCACAGGGGACTGGCTGACGGCGGTCCCGGTAGCTTCCTCACGTCGCATCGGCCCGGTACACTTCAGCAACGCCGTGCGCTTCCAGTTGGGCCTCCCTTTCTCTACTCCGAAGAATTGTGACTGTGCAGAACACACCGCTATCACAGACCCGCGCCTCCCCAACCACCTCTTCCGCTGCGGCACGGGGAAGCACCGTACGAATACTCATAATGAGACAACGAACTCCGCGACGCGTGCATCAGCATGGCGCAGGACGCGAGGTTCATAGTACACAGGGAGACAAACGTCTACTGCCCCATAGAGGAGCAGGCGGCTGATTTTACCATGACAGACAGAAGCAGTGGGGCGGTCTGGGTGTGTGATGTGACGGTTACAGACCCGATTAGCACACGGGACCCGGAGGCAAGGAAAGGCAGGGGTTGGGCAGCCCGGGAGCAGGCGGATAAGAAGATCAAGCACTATGAGAACCTGCCAGAGACAGTGGGCTTCTTCCCCCTGGCAGTGGAGACCTACGGCTGCCCTTGTGCGGAGGTCCCTGTGTTCCTGAAACTCCTTGCAGACACGGCGGCTCGGCGATACTTCAACGCCGACTCCAAATCCTATCATGCCGCGAAGTTCCTGCACCAGTTCAGGCAGAGGTGGTCGGTTGCACTGCAGAGGGCCCAGTCTGTGGGACTCATGATCAAGTTAGGAGAGGCGGCGGCTGCTGAGAACCCACCTGTAGGAGGGATAGGGCAAGAATTATACCTGGGGGACTGTTTTACCGTCCTAGAGCCTCTTCTTGAGCTCTAGGTGACTTAGAGAGGTTGGATAGTCTAGACTACCTTGCATGTTAGTAACCTGCTGTCTCTCATTGCAGTGTGTACCCTTCTGGCTTATCAATATACGGACCATTAGAGAGAGAGAGAGAGAGAGAGAGAGAGAGAGAGGAGAGAGAGAGAGAGAGAGAGAGAGAGAGAGAGGAACCTTAGCCCTCTGCCCTCGGCCTTCTCCCTCTGCCCTCGGCCCTCCCGGCTATTTAAGGCCTGCTCTAGCTTGCTTCTCCTCATTATTTTGTCGTGGGTTCATTTTCGGCGCTCGAGAGCGAGAGAGAGAGAGAGAGAGAGAGAGAGAGAGAGAGAGAGAGATAGAGAGAGAGAGAGAGAGAGAGAGGAACCTTAGCCCTCTGCCCTCGGGGCAGCCCCCCCTCGCCCGCGACAGCAGGCAGCTCCCCCTCGCCCGTCGCCCACGAGGAACCGCGACAGCAGGCAGCCCCCCCTCGCCCGTCACCCACCCCGCCCACTTCGCGAATCCTTCGCGATATGCCTGCTGACTCCACTGCTGCACCTGGCAAAAAACCCAGACTCCACTGCGGGCTGGAAGCTGCTGATGTTTCTCCCGCGCATTCTGCTGCGCACCTCGTCAGCACGCTCCCCGACTGGAAAACCATGGGCGCGAGGCTGACGCGATTCCGCCAGGCCTGTGGCGCAACCTGTACGACGAGGCAGCAGGCGCGGTTACCAGCGACCCCCAACCACGCCACGTACCTGATGACACTGGCAAGCTCTCGCGTGCAGAAGGCTTGGCTAAGAGAGGGAACCGGGCGAAATCTCTGCACGACCCTGCTGCC